TCGAAAAAAGTCAAAAAAGTCACAGTATAGCATGTCAAAAAAAAGTCATAGTATAGCATGTTGAAAAAAGTGATAGTATAGCATGTCGAAAAAAAGTTATAGTATAGCACGTCGAAAAAAGTAGAAAAAAGTCATAGTATAGCACGTCGAAAAAAGTAAAAAAAAAGTCGGTATAGTATGTCGAAAAAAGTAAAAAAAAGTCATAGTATAGCACATTGAAAAAAGTTAAAAAAAAAAGTCAGTATAGTATGTCGAAATAAGTAAAAAAAAGTCATAGTATAGCATGTCGAAAAAAGTAAAAAAAGTCATAATATAGCATGTCGAAAGAAACTGAATAGCACTTTATAAATAGAGGTTATTTAATATTATTATCATTTTCATAAAAAGTCACAGTTTGAGAAAACGAGTAAAAAGAAAAGAAGTGCTCCGACTCGTTTGTTTACTTTTGTTCTCCTTTTTGTTTTTGTAGCAAGGTAGTTGAGTTGCCACGGCGACGAGTCAACCCACCTCCCGTCGACAGGATTGGAATGAGTCGTCTACCAAACAGCCGAGGATAGGCCACGCCCCCTCCCTCTGACAGTCTGGCCCCTCTCTACAGCGCCCTCCTCTGGACAGGTGCGGCACTGCAGTCGACTCACATTCCCCCAAAACACTGAAATGATTCTTTCAACTCTTCTGACGCTGTTCTCTCTCCGCAGAGGAGTCACCACAGATGCATGAAACACAGCCAATCACCAACCGCCACGCCCACCACCTGTCAATCATCTACCTTCACTTCACCTGGACACCCCCGACCCCCACAGTGATGAATGTTTAGTGACGGTGCATTCAGGTGCTACTTGGTAAATTTATGGCACGTGTCTGAGAATGTCAGGACCAAATAATTATTGATCAGATTTCATGTTTACGTCTTAATAGGAAACCTCAAACTGATAATTGTCACATTTAAAAAACATTCAATATCCGTCTTTAGATTTTATAATTCCATAACATCACCGTCTGAACCTAAACATCTCAACGAAAACTGCCACACCAAAACATTGTGGCAGAAGATTAACTTTTATTATTAATTTAAAATTTCATCCTCCATTAATTTCTGTCCTGAATAATCAACTGTGGTTTCAAGATAGCTCCTAATTTTAATCCATTTCAGACTGTTTTTCTTCAGAGTTCGTCTACAGCAGTTTGTGTTAGGCAGTGGTGAAAAGTAACTAAGTACATGTATTTGTCAAACTGGTACAGATATTTTTAAAAAACTGACTTTCACAGTTATGATGAAACATTCTCGCAGTTTTTTTTAGAGTGTCACCTGAATGCACCATCACTGCCCCTCCCTGCCTCCTGTGACTCTGACTGGAGGCGTCTGTCGCCTCAAACATCCGACGCGACTTGACTCGAGTCTCTGCCTCGTAGTGCAGCAGGTCTGTTTACAGCAGGACGACATGCTGAGAGACGTCTCCACTGCGCCGGACATCACGAGAACTGGACCGACCTCCACTGCAAATAAGTGACGACCATGAAGCCAGTGAGAAAGAATTTAGGGTAGAGATGCTCCGATTTATCGGCTGATCATCGGTATCATCCGACATTCACCTTTTTAACCGCCATCGGCCACCAGCAGTTAAAATGACAGTCACTGATGGCCGATGCTTTCTGTTGTGTCAGTTCAGTTTTTCGCAGGTTAAAAATTAGTGGCCGGTTGCACAGAGCACCTGAAGTTAAGATCGTCCATTAAATAAAATCTGTTGCACAAAACATCCTTAAGTTTTTCTCCTTATCATGTTCACAAGTCAACGGTGTGCTGCGTCATTCGCCGGGTGTCAGACGCCCTCACCTGTCTACTGAACACCGTGCTGAAGTTCCCGTCCAAACGTCGCAGTTTCTTCCCACATTCGTGTTATTTTTGGATCAAATTTATTTTTCATTTTGTTCTTGAATTTATCTAGATTTTTTCTTCCTCTGACCAATTTGGTTTTCGTGTCTTCTTCTACCATTTTTCTTAAATATCAGGCGAACTCTGAGAATACGTAGGCGCGACAACAGGTAGCCGCTATAGCCAATCAGCATTGAGATCCTCTGGGGATGAATGACGCCGAGGATGTACTGGTGGAAGTTCATTAATCGATTCAGAGATTCATGCGCGTATGACGTGAGTCAGTGCACAAAATATTGTAGTGAAAATTCGCATTGCATTTTGTGTGAACACAACATAAAGAGGGGACTTAGTAGCGGCTCTATAGCGCCACCTCTGTGTGAAAAGGGTTTTAAACAGACATGAGACTGGTATCTGTCTGAACATGTCACTGTAGGAAAGAAAGAAAAAGCCAATCATGTAGAACGATTCCTTCCAAAACAAACCGGGTCAGATGGACAGTTTATGTAGTTCCAATTTAATGGACTACAACACGTCATATTATCTGGAATATTCCTTTAAAACCTTGACCACATCATCACAGCTGTGTTGCCTTCACAGTCAGCTGGTTCAGGTTCATACGAGTGCTGCTTCAGCACATTACTGTGCGACACTGAACGGTCCAGGACGACACGCCGGCGCAGTGGAGATGGTTTCCTCGTCAGCCAGAGGTTTAAAAAAGAAAAAAAAAAAAACTGATCCTGTTTTTAAAATGCTTCTTACTGCCTTTAAGTTTAATTGTGCTTAATAAAGAGTTAATGATCACGCTGCTCGAGGTGTCTTTTTTATTCTGAAGGTCAAACGAGACAGAAAAATTATTTGCCTCCAGGACGAAACAGAATCCATCTGGTGATGTGTATTTTAGCAGAATAATTAGAGTTCATTTCACAGTAAATTCTTTGATATTTTAAAATATATTTTCAGCATTACTGAAGAGTAAAAATCAAAAACCTGAAAAATAAGGTTTTGTCCTAATGTTTATATCAAAAATACTACATCGTGGTTTTTACATCAAAAGTACATTAATTTTACTTTTATCACCACGAGGACGCTGACCTTCAAAACAAGTCCGGTTGCATTCTGGGATTGACAAGAGGGGGAGGGGAGGGTTAGACAGCAACCATTTTTACTGTGAAGAGGAATAATGTAAAAGTTAATGAAATCTGACCTTCAACCAACAAATTCTAATCAGTTTGTTTGTGAGTCCAAGTGAACATTTGTGCCAAATTTGAAAATTCCCTTAAGATGTTCTTGAAATACCCCAATTATAAAATAAAACGGCTGCAAGGTTGGAGTGACCTTCCACCATCAAAATCTAATTTGTTCATCCTTGAATCAAAGTGGATGTTTGTGCAAAATTTGAAGAAATTCCTTCAAGGTTTTCTTGAGATACTGTTTTCACAGAATCAAACGTACACAAGATCACATTAACCTTGACCTTTGACCACCAAAGTCCAATTCATTCATTCTTGAGTCGAAGTTGATGTCTGTGCCAAATTTGAAGAAATTCAATCAAGGTTTTCCTGAGATGCCGTGTTCACAAGAATGCGACAGACAAGGTCACAGTGACCTTGACCACCAAATTCTAATCAGTTCATTTGTGAGTCCAAGTGAACGTTTGTGCCAAATTCGAAAATTATCTTTAGGTGTCAGATACTGTATTCACAAGAATGCTATGGACGCAGGGTCTTAGTGACATTTGACCACCAAAATTTCATTTGTTCATGCTTGAATCAACATGGAGGTTTGTGCCAAATTTTAAAAAAAAATTCAATCAAGGTCTTAAGATGCCACGTTCACAGTGTCCTTTGACCACCAAAATCTAATCAGTCAACGTTTGTGCCGAATTTGATAATTCCCTTAAGGTGTTCTTGACATACCGAGTTTACAAAATTAAGTGGACACAATGTCTCAGTGATCTTGACCTTTGACCACCAAGATCAAATCAGTTCATCTGTGGTTCAAAGTGGATGTTTGTGCCAAATTTGAAGAAATTCCTTCAAGGTCCTCTTGAGATACTGCGTTCACGAGAATGGGACAGACGAGCGGCCAACCTGAAAACATATTGCCTCCAGCTACGGCTACGCTGGCGCAGAGGCATGAAAATGTTGAGTATGGCACAAACACAAAAACAATCATGCAGGAAAAGGATAACATATATTATTATTACATTTATTATAAACATATGAACTCAGAGGGCAGAGGTGAGTTTCTGTTGTCGCTTTATTAAGAAAAGTATCACCTGTTCAGAACACAGTGCACACACACAGGCCGATTCACAGTCAACACACATCGAGATCTGATGCCCACTGTGTTACCTGTGTGAACTCAGCCCTGCAGACACTTTACATACTTCTGTACAGCCGCTATGGGAGCAGAGAGAGGACAAAAAAGACTGAGGAGGAAGAAGAGGAAGAGGAGGAGGAGGAAGAGGTCTGTCCAGCCTACTAGCAAAACACAAACACCTTCACATTCAGAAACAAAAAGGGCATGAGGGAAGATTTTGTTCTCAAATCCAATGTTGGAAATTTTAGAAAATGTGACGGTGCTTTGGACAAAATACTCACAAAATGTCACTGAAACGATTTCTGGATCAGCTACGTTAGGTTTTACTTTGAACCAGCAGGGTCAAAGATGAGACTGGTTAAGAGTTAAGCTAATGTAGCTGACTGCTAACTGAGTTAGCTTGTAGGTAAAGCAAATAAAGTGCTGGCATATGCTAACATGACTGCTAACATACGTTAATGTACCCACTGCTTTTGAGTTAAGGCTAACACAGCTAACTGATAATATTAACTAATGTAGATTTTGCTAGTTTTGAGAAAGAGCTAATGTAGCTGACTGCTAGCATTAGTTAGCTTGGATGTAAAGCTCACATTTGCTGGCATTTTGTGCTAACATTAGTCATCATTGAGGGCCCTGTTGGTTTGGAGCTAAAGCTAATGTAGATAACTGCTGATATAACATTAGCTAAAATTATAAAACTAGCTTTATCTTCAAGTCCATAATGCTAAAGCTAATGTAACTAACTGGTATTATTAGTGTCAAGCTGACATTAGCTAACATCATGGACCCAGCTGGTTTGGAGCTAGTGCTAATATAGCTAACAGCTAACATAAGCTAATGTTGTGAGAGAAAATTAACATAGCACACTGTTAACATTAGCTATAGTAGTTGGCTGTAGGTTCAAAGATAAAGCTAACTGCTAACATGACTTAATGTTAAGATAACGGTATAAGCTAATGTTGGAGATTTCGCTAGTTGTTAGACACAGCTTATGTAGCTGACCGCTAAAATTAGCTTTATTTGTTGGCTAAAGCTAAGACCAGCGAGTATTATGGACTTAGTGTAAGGCTGACTGCTAACCAACTTAACTCTGGGGTAAAGCTAACGTAATGCTTACACTGGTTGACGGAGTTGAATGAGTCATGGCTCTTGCTAGTCTGCTTGCTTAACATAAGGCTAACAAAGCTAAGTGACAACATAAGCTAATGTTGTAGATTTTGCTAGTTTTTACCTTTTGTAGCTGACTGCTAGGATTAGCTATATTAGTTGGCTTAGGCTAACACTAGACAGTATTATGGACTTGCAGATAAGGCTGTCTGCTGACATTACTTAACTTTGAGGTAAAGCTAACATAATGCTAACACTGGTTGACTGTAACAGAGACTAGAGAGATAGATTTTGATCGTTTTTAAATATAGCTAACACAGCTGAACACTTCCATTAGCTATATTAGTTAACACAGATGTAAAGCTAGCATTAGCTAACATTATGGACTTGGAGAGAAAGCTACATTTAACTTAGGTAACGCTAATTACATTAGTTAATGTTGTAAATCCAGTTGGTTTGGAGCCAAAGTTAAAATGTGGGAGATAAAATGAACATAGCTGAATGCTAGTTCACATTAATAGCAGCTATCTATCATTCTGTGGATTAGATTGAAAGCTTTTACATGATTTAACCAAAGACCAGACGAGTTTACAGCAGATATTCACATTCTGACTCAAGTCAAAGTGATCTGACCTCAGCCCTTCAGTAAGGCGAGCTGGACCTGAGGAGGAGGAGGAGGGAGGGAGGGCAGGAGAACAGAGGGATTGTTCAGGAAGCAACACATTAAAAAGAAAAACAACAACAACAAAAAAAAAACTATGGAGGTTAAAATCAGAGAGGCATCCGGTTGCCTTCAACGCTGATTTTAACAGCGTGACCCGGCTTCGTCAGGCGGCGGATGTCAGCAAATCTACGCATCTGTTTATCGACACGGGACATACCCTTCTTCATCGGACCCTGCGGGAAGACAACAGAAACATAGGATTAGAAAGCTGCGACACGTTAAGGGTCGTCTTGTGCGCTTAACCATCTCTGCCTTTGAATAAAAAAGGAAAAAGTGATGAAACACTAAATCTGTGACGTGTTTTAGAGATTTTAGTTTTATAAAGATTTAACAGCAGTGTATTTTTAGCCAGTGTTTCATCACTCTTTGGCCCCGTGTACACGTATGCAGATATTTTTGAAAACTGATATCTTCCTCTACGTTTTGGCCTCTCGTCCACAGAAACTGAGTTTTACCTGCTGCGACCCTCAACCCCTCATGAGGACATTAGATTTTAGGCTGCACTTTATACTTTATTCTGCTGAACTTAGACCTGTTGTCCTCATTCTTGGACGCTTTTTTGAGCCATCAAGTAGTGGTATTACGCACTTGGAGATAAAGCTAACAGTTAACATCACTTTGAGGTAAAGCTAATGTGATGCTACCATAATAAAATCCACTTTGTTAACTGCTAACACATGTGATGGCCCCTGCTAGTTTTGACTTAAAGCTAAGATATATTACACATCTACATGGATACAAATAACGATCCAGCTACCTGGATCGATATACTGATCAAATGATCAACGATCCAATGTCATCGATGCAATGGGAAAACATTGATCCATATCGTCATCTTTAGGAAATGCTTTTATTTTGATAGCCTGTCACCATAAAATAGCAGCAGGCAGATTGTCAGCAGCTGAGAGAAAAGATGATGAAGGTAATGTTATTTACTCAGGAATAAATCAGCAGCGTGGAAATATTTTGGATTTCGGAGAAAAACAGCGGTCAACAGACAGAACACATGGCGTACGTAAACAATACTGTTACGAGATAAAACACGACGCAACGTTTCCTGCCTGGACGATCATCTCATTCTGCTAACTTCTCTCTTCAGCGACGTCAGCTGCTGTTTCAACTGCGCTCCACTCAAAAAATGTGTGACATCTCCTGACAGAACAGCTCTGTTGAACTTCAGCCTGCTGAAGTTCAACAGAGCTGTTCTGTCAGGAGATGCAGAGACTTCAACTAACAGTGAGTATGCTGTAAAGCCCTGTGAGGCAAATTGTGATTTGTGATATTGGGCTTTATAAATAAAATTGAATTGAATTGAATTGAGTATGACTAGCAAAAAAACAACTGTTTTATTTGTGAACCTGTGTTGAAGTTCGTACGGAGCTAAATTTGAGACTTTTTTAAAATGGTCTTGTTTTATGGCTGGAGAAGTTTGTCTTCAGGGCTTTAAGACAGAAGTTTGTCTTCAGGACTTTTAGACAAAAGTTCGTCTTCAGAACTTTAAGACAGAAGTTTGTCTTCAGAACTTTTAGACAGAAGTTCATCTTCAGAACTTTAAGACAGAAGTTCGTCTTCAGAACTTTAAGACAGAAGTTTGTCTTCAGGACTTTCAGACAGACGTTTGTCTTCAGGACTTTAAGACAGGTCGACTTTTAGTTTTAGGAAACAAGTGATGTTTTATTGTTAGTGGAGTCAGTTTGAAGTCAACTTTACTGCACTTGAGCGATTACATCTATTTACATTTTTCCATGTGTTGTTTTTATCTTTTATATCCAAAAGAAAAAGGAGGCAGTTTCTTCTGTAATCGACTGTGTTCAATGGGCAGATAATATTATTTCATCACGATTGTAGGCCCCTGAATAACAACAAATCTAACTCATATCATGGCGGACTTTGACTTTGGTATCTTGATGAAACTGTTGATTTACACCCCTAATACAAGGTACCAAGAGTTTTAACAACCTGCACCTCGGAGGGCGTTTTTAAAAACCTCCATTTTAGTGACCTAAAACTCAGTTTGTGTGGACGAGAGGAAAAAACTGAGGAAAACTGTTATCGCTTGAAGTCATTTTTGCATTTTAGTGTGGATGGATATATTTTGTAAAATGGACGTTATGTGGACAAATATCTGTTTTCAGAAACATCTGCGTATGTGTGGACAGGGCCTTCAGCACAACTCATGTCTCCAGGGTCATGCAGGGAAGAGTTTAAACCCTTAGAGGTCACCAAGCATCCCAGAAGTCATAGCCTCAACCCCCCCAACATGTTTGTTAATCAATGTGTGTGTGTGTGTGTGTGTCCGTTGAGGAAGAGGACGACAATTCAAGCCAAACACACACCAACAACAGCTGAGGCGAAATAGTTCAATAATACATGAGTCAGCAGGCTGTCAGACTGAAAGGGTTAAAACTACCCAACAGGCTGCTTTGGTTCAGGTGAGACAATAAATAGGTCCAGTCTGAGTAAGAAGTCATTAATGTGAAGGTTACAATATGAACAGTGATCCTCCATTAACGGGCACCTGCTTGTTTTTCATTGGCAGAACTGGATGATGTCATGTTACAACAAAGAGGCACCAGGACTGCGAGTGTGTTCAGATCAGAAACGTACTTTAGAAATGTACGTGCTGGCGGAAGGGAGGGGTCAGGGGATACATCTCAACTTAATGGAGGAAAGTTAGATCAGTGCTGGTCCCAGTGGTCACAGATGAGTCAGAAGTCAGAGGTCAGTTTTCAGACAAAGATGGTTGCCCGCAGAGAGACGCTCTACTCCAGAGAGCAGCGCGTCTTCTCCAGAGGGAAAACTCTTTGCAGACACCTCACACAGCTAACTGAACCATCACCGCAGACGCCTGTCACACCATGCACAAGGACTTACTGCCCCCCACAGGCCAACAGCAGGAACTACAGGGGCATTCTGTTTCCCTCTATGCTGATCTTGACAGCTCCCTGCGGACGGCCCATTTTCCTCTTCTCTGCAAAGCGACGCTTGTGCTTCTCCAGCAGGCTGATGCCTTTCTTATAGCTCTACAGAGGACCAATCACAGCTCAGCTGAACACCTCACTTCCTGTGTGCAGACGGCCCTCCATACCAGAATCAGACTCCACAAGTCTTTTTTTTTTAACAGAATTTTTTCATTCTCATTTCTGTCATTACTGGAAGTTGAGACAACTTACACACCTTAACACCCTGTGGAGCGACACTGCAGAAATATGATTTCATATACCAACTCTAACATGTGAATAACCAACAATAGGTATGATGACAATAACAATAATTATTATAACAATGACAACAACAACAGCAGTTTTTATATTATTATGTGAAAATGAAGTGAATCACTTCTACATGTTGACGTCCACTAAAATATCTCTACACTGATAAATTAAATAGTTCTCAACTGAAATACAGGCAGTACAGATTTATCTATCTATGAATATTTTATGGATTTCAAACATTATTTATTATAATTATTAAAATGATTCATATGTATTATATTATTATAACTTTATCTATTTATATTATAGCTTAATTAGATTTTTGTTATTTGTTTGTTTTAATTATTTATCTTTATTATTTATTATATATTTATATATTATTTATTATAAATTTAGTTCTTTTTAGTTTTAATTATTTATATTTGTTATAATATTTATTATTTATCATAAATGTATTAATTTAGTTTTCTATTATCTATATGTATTATTAAATTATATTCTTTAATTATTTATCATAATCATTGTTTGTTCTAATTATTTATATATTTATTTTATGATTATCACATTAATAATTATTAATATTTATTATATATTTTTAATTATTTATATTGCTATTATATTGTATTATTTATAATATATTTATAATTATGATTTAAGATAGCTATAACCATGATTTATTTATTATCTATATTTTCATCTCTGCAATACTGTACAATATACAATACCAACTTGAACATAATCTGTGTTTTAATTCAGCTATACAAAACCCTTCTTATTTAATTCTTGCATTTATATTTAGCACAATTGTAGCATAATGCAAACTTTTTCTTTTCGTACTTCTCATTTTTATTTCTCACAGTTCTTTCAGTACTTCTGTTTCTGATAATAATTATTACTCAAATATTTATTCAACCAGAGAAGTAATTGTGTATTTCCTGTCTCACACATTCCCACCTGGCTTTCTCCCCCTCATAATAATAACCTCCACATGAACACCTACTAAGTGTTGATGTAATAAACAGGTAAGAGATGCTGACGTCATCCTTTAAATTCAGATTCTTTTGTTGTGTTTTATATTTTGATGGTGACTCTCAGCCTCTACAGGTGAGTTCACACCTGGAGACTGAGGAGTAAAAACAGACTCACCCTGTTGGACTCCATCTCTACGTTCCATTTGGGTCGTACCACGTAGTCTTTGTTGGAGGGCATCGGCACCCGAGCCCTGGCACAGAACCCAGGGTCACCTGGTCTCAGAGCTCTGTGGAGACGGGGAAGAGGAGGAGGAGGAGGAGGAGGAGGAGGAGGAGGAGGTGGTACTCAGTTATAATAATGCTGAACCCTCCATGTGATTCTAGTAGAACAGGCTGTGTTAATCTGAACTTACTTCTCCTCCCCGGTCAGCTGTTTCTCCAGGTCTCTTCGAGGCGTCTGACCACCAGAGCTGGAGACAGACAGACAGACAGACAGACAGACAGACAGACAGACGGGGGGAGCAGAGAGACACTTTGGTTAACACCAGGACAGATTATACAGTGGGTGAAATCACTGACTGAGCTGAACGTCCACAGCTGCTGAGACACACAGAGACTGGCCTCAGCACAAACACCACCAGCTGAGCCTCCATGCTATTATTAGCATTCTCCACCTCACAGCAGTTAGTCAGCATTTCAGTGCAACAACAAGAAAATACCCGACACCTCGGCTGATTCCTAACGTTCTGAGCTGAACCGTACTGAACTGCTCGGTGGAAACGCGGCTTTAAATACATGAACTCACCTGGAAACATGATTTTTGTCTCAACAGACAGATTTACATCAACAGTAACTGACCCCACGATACTTGACAGACTGGGGGGGGGGGGGGGGGGTTACAGGAAGTGCTGACCACAGTTGAGATGTCTTGCTTCTTTCTATTTATTCTGTTTCCACTGATTTTTTGGATAATTAATCTGAATCTGTAAGAGGTAACTTGCAGCTGAAGCTGTTTCCCTTTACAGGTGCCTCTAAACTGTACTTAAACAAGTGAACGTTTCCTCACACTGCCTCCATGCTGAAACACAACCAGAGCAGAGATGTAAATAATGTTCTGAACACTAAACACAGCACAAGCTTCAGGCCACAGGGCGCCTCGGCCGGAGACTGACAGTGGTCGTGTTAGGAAGTGACCACGTCACATTCAGCTGCTGCGCCCAGAGAGTCCGTATAAACCAAACTGTGTGCGTTTAACCACAGCTGTCTGTAAGAGGCGGGACTCGCAGTGACACCATGCAGTTTTGAGACTGAACCTGATTGGTGGAGAGAAGACGTCAGGTTCCTCCGCCCTCTCCACCTTCTGAGGCTGACTGGGGGGAGTAGGAGGGGAGGAAGAAGAGGAGGGATGAAATGGAACGGATGAAGAGGAATGAAAGGAGAAAAACTGAAGGTAGAGATTCAGAGAAACAACAAAGAGGAAGGAGGGAGAGGCTGGAAGGAAAAACACAGCGTGATGATGAGAGGATGAAAAGAATGACGAGACCTCAACGCCATGGTCAGGTCACCAGACTGTTCCACATGGACATGATGGTGTCTGACTCAGACTGGTTTGATCTGTTTAAATATTCATTATTAAAATACAGGAGAAGACACATCAAACAGCTGATCACAGCAGCAGTGTCTCCAGGTGACACATGGTACCAACAAATCAACACACAGACGATAATCAGCCTTGTGAGGTGCTGAACTCTGACTTCTGTCTAAGCTTTAAGTCTTCTGATTCAAATCAGGTTTGGGTTTAAATAAATTCATTAAAGAGCTGAGCTAAGGATGTTTTTAAACAAAGAACTTTTAAAAATACGTAAGCTCATCTCTGCCGATGTGATGATGACAAAACATATCCTGTAAGTCATAAAGAAACAAACTTATTGACTCAGTACCTCAAAATAATGACTGAGTATCTAAATATAATGACTTAATATTTCTTATTATGTCTTACAGGAGCTTCTCTTTTCACCACACTGGCAGAAATGGGCGGACATAAAAAAAAAATCAGCTGACTGTGTGTTTCCTTCCTCTCCACAGAGTGATGATGAGGGTTGTGTCAGAGGAAGGTAAAGGTTGTGTCACGTTGTCAGGAGGAAGTTTTACCTCAGTCGTTGTCTCTGAGGCATCTGCTGGTCCAGATCTCTCTGCTGACGCTCCTCTCTCGTCATCCCCTTGTAGTTGGACGTCAAGCCGAAGATGGGCCGCGACCACTCATCTGGACACACGACAGAGATTAACACTCTTATCTTAAAACACCCATCACTGCTCAAAGACAGAGCGGTCCTTACTGATGAGTTTGAGAGCGAGGTCTTTGTTGGCTCGAGATTCTTTGGGATGTTTGTACAGGAACATGACGGAGCGTCCGATCCCGCTGTGCTTCAGAGTCTCCTGACTCACGCTGGGCAGCTGCAGAGAGCAAACAGTCAAACACTGAGCTGAACAGACTCATCAGGAGGAGAGTTTTATCGACGCATAAAGGAACACTATGGTTACATCCCTCCACGGGTGCGTACTCACTTCCTGTAGGATCCTGAGTAGCTCCTCTCTGATTCTGAGAGCAGGCAGTGATTTGTCTGGAAGAGGACTGATCCACTCTTTAATGGCTGACATCACACCGCTGTCGATGAACGTCTCCTTCAAGTCCTGTCTGAGGGACAAACACCACCACCAGTTAGTTACTGTTGTTACTGCTGCTCATTAATCAGTTGTGTGTTAATAATCAAAGTAACTAAAGGTATGAAATAACCGACGTAAAGCAGTGAAGAGTAGAGATGCAGTGGACCACTGGAGACTGACAGGTGTGAGGCGTTCTTACTTCTTGAGGTGCATGACGACTTGTGGCAGCAGAGTGAGTTTTTTCAGCGCTGGTTTCTTCTGACTGTTCAGAGTTCGATCTTCCTGTAACCAACAACACACAGTCGTTATTACAGTGAAACACAGACAGGAAATCATTCAGTGAGGCTTTTATTTTGACAGGCCGACCTCTGCTGCTTCGTTCATCTTGGAGATCATGGCGCTGACCACATCATCGGCGTCGCTGATGAACGTCCCTCCGTCGCGGTGCCGCCGCTTCCTGCTGTTCATGGCTTTCCTCCGAGCGAGCATGATGTCAAAGTCTGACATGAAGGAGGTGCTGAACGTAGAGACACACACACACACACACACACACACATCACAGCTTAGACATTGTTCTAACACTTCAGTTTTATAACAGCAGAAATAAATGATAATAAAATATAATAAAAAGTGTTTTCATGTGAAGATGTTGCTCGTTGATTCAGTTTCTTCACAACATTTATCAGAAAATGGAGTCTGAAGCTGAGACAAAATTATATTCTTACTTTTTACTTTGATTTTTTTTATCACTGTTACCAGCTCTATTTTAATTCAGATGAATCTTTACTTTTCTACTGTAGTTATATCTGTAATCTAATTTTTTTTATTAGTAGTAGTAGTAATTTAAAAAATTCACATATTATTAATGTGAATAATTTTCATCACATCTTTTTTTATTAATTTTTATTATCAATCTTACTATCTCTTTATTTTACTTCATTATTATTTTTTTGTATTTATATTTTTAATCATTTTTATTATTAACTACTTTTTTCCATAATCTTTAATATCACTATCTCTATTTCATTTTTAACATTTATCTTCATCTTTTGTATTTAGATTTTTAATTAATACATTTTATGATTAGCATGATGTTGATTATTTATTATCGTTTTTTAACTAAGTATTTTTTCCTTAATTCTTATTATCACTATTAGCATTTCTCTGATTTAATTAATTTTATCTTTATTTTCTAATTTATATTTTAATTAATTAATTAATTTTAATAATATTATGATTAGTATTTTATATACATCATATAACATGAAAATCTCAAGTTACAAACCTTACAAACATTTAAATATGTTAAATTAAAAAAGAAAACTGAACACATCTCCGGCTGGTCGTCTATAAAGAGACTCCTCCTTACTCTTGGCCGCTGCGGTCGACTCCTTCATCAGAGTCAGACTCCTCCTCCACCTCCTGCTGCTTCTCCTTGGACTCCTTCTTCTCCCCCTCCAGGTCCTCCTGGTTGAAACCCTGCAGGAGGAGACAAGACAGTTTTTAATCAGCTGACTTTGACGCTAACAAACAGTCTGCAGGAGGTTTTACTTACCGTGAACTCCTCTTCCTCTTCATCTCCAGACTCTCCAAAAATGTCTGCGATCATTTTCCTGGAGGAAACACAGAGGTCAAAGGTCACACCTGCAGCGTTCACTTCTGGTTCTACAATGTTTCCACTGACTGCAACAACAGATTCTGACTGAGCTTCATCAGATGAAAATATTCTACATGTCCCTAAAGTCACAGACAGGTTCGACTGTAAGACGCAGGGAGGAGTGCAGTACTTACTCCTCTTCATCACCGTCTCCAGAGTCGCTGTCGCTGCCAAACAGCGCCTTCTCGTCCTTCTTCCCCGTGGCCGTGGCCTTCGACCTCTCGTCGTCCTCGCTCCCGCTGTCCGAGCCGAGCTCTCTCAGTTTGGCGGCCAGACTCTTATCGGGACCGACAGAGCCACCGTCGCTGTCAGAGTTCTCGTCATCTGACACTGCACGACTCCTCTTCACTGCTGAGGAGGAAAAAACACACGAGACCGAGAGATGGAGCGTTTCTGGGACAAACTACAAGGCCACAAGTTTGTGGACACGGTGAGTCCGGTCTGGTGTTCCTCAGGGACCATATATGGGACATTTTTACATGTACTCATTATTCCGATAATTACAATTATAGCAGATAAATAACGCCGATAACATGAAGCCAGACTGCTTCTACTGACTTGCCAAGGGCAGCATCTACACACCGACACAGTGGGCGGAGCTACATGTACCTTTAAACTTGGTTTGCGAGCCGCCAATATACACAGAGAAGAACAACAACTGCAGCAGCTGTCGGGAGGGCGAAACATGTTGCAGTGTGGACGTCTTTCACAGCTCCAGAGGACGACAACAGGACGGTGCCGAGGGTCTGATCTCTGACTGCCCGACACTGGTCACACACAGCGCTGAAGGACCGTCTCCAGAGTGTTAGCACGAGCTAGTTAGCAGCAGCGGGCGGCTAACATCCAACACTGAGCTTTTAAAGGTTCCACACTGTTGGTAAACTTATTAATAACTGCTAACCATGTGATGCTACAGTCGACGTGTAGCGTACGACATAGCTACAGCGTTGATTCAACTCAGGTGACACAAACTACAGGTTATACTAAATACAAATGCGAAATCATCAGTTGTCATATCGGTTGTAAATATCCATATCTGTGCGTCCCTCGTGTTCCAGTTCATCCTACAAACAACCAGCATTTAACTCAAGTGTGGAGATCGTGTCATCTTACCTGGTTTGTCTGCTTTCTCCTCATCCTCATCCTCACTGTCTGACAGGATGGCCTTCTTCCTCTTCACTGCAAACACACACACAATAAAACACAAGCTCATGAAGGACGCCAATCAGTGGCCAGCAGCCAATCAGGTTTAAAGGCACGGCTGATGTTTCTGCAGCTGGCCTCAGGTCAGTACCTGGCTTCTCATCCTCGTCATCACTGTCATCTTTCTGCTCCCTCTCCTCCTGCTGCTGCTCTCCATCACTTCCTGCTGAAGCCTTCCTCGTTTTTCCCTCCTCCTCCTCGTCCTCACTGTCAGACTGCATCACAGCCTTCCACTTCCCTCCTCCTCCTCCTCCTCCCTCCGCCTTCTCCTGCTGTTTCTCCTCCTCCTCCTCGTCAGAGTCTATCTGTGCCGCCTTACGTCTGGCAGGCGTCTCTGTGTCAGAGTCACTGTCTGCATTGGACCGGCGGGCAGGGGACGCCGCAGGTTTGTCCTCCTCATTCTCCGAGTCGCTGTCTGCGGCCGCTTTGGGCCTCTCCTCTCCTTCCTCCATGTCCGAGCTGCTCCCCCTGCGTTTGGCGGGAGGCGACCTTCCCCCCTCCTCTTTGTCTGAAGCTCCGTGTTTGACGGGCGACTCCTCCTCGTTGTCTGAGCCGCTCATCCTGCGTTTGACCGGCGAGTCGTCATCATCATCGCTGTCAGCGGGATGTGAAGCCTCCATCTCAGAGTCACTTTTGTCATCATCTCGATGGCGACCCCTGGGGGCCTCGCCTTCCGAGTCGCTTTTGTCGTCGTTGTGGCGGCCCCTGCCAGCCTCACCGTCTGAGTCACTTTTGTCGTCATGACGGCGCCTGGGGGCCTCTCCCTCTGAGTCACTGTCGGCTCCTCGGTGTAACTCATTGTCGGAGCCGCTGGCCGCCCCGCTGGTCTTCATGGCATGGGGGGCGTCTTCATCATTGCTGCCGTCGTCCTGTTGAGACAAACAATGTCAGAGTCACAGTCTCATCAAAGAGACTTAGAAAAAGATCTCAAGTTTTGGGGCAGAGGTTAGTTGACATTCGCTTTTTTTACCAAGTAGCTGAACGACAAGTTGTTTAAAATTGTCTTTACCAAACCCACCAGACTCCATTCAAATAAACAGTAATTTAAGCCTGTATGGATGCACCGTGCTGTCACATCTGACTGAGGGAATTAAGGGTTCATTTCAGCCAAACCAGAGCTGGTGATTGTTGCAACAGCTGAAAGAGGAACCAAAGCAGCTTCTATGAGTTTTATTTTGTTTCTGTCAGTTTTGAATAAAGTGTGTTTAAAGATGATAAAATGAGTGTTTATTCAAATGGAGTCTGGTGGGTTTGGTGATGGTGATTTCAGGACTGTTTCTGGTTAAACAAAAAGGATCTGACTCTTTAACACAAAGCTCTATCTCTGTAGGGATCCTTTCATAATGTTGTCAGACACTTAGAATAACAATCTGAGCCTGTCAGTGGCAAAAACAAACACTTGCAATGGACGCTAACTGACGGTGCATAAATGCCCAGAGTGGTTACACTGCAGCACTCTCTCTCAATACTGGACCAGTTTCAAAACTGTTGTTGACGTCAGTCGCTTAGACACAAAAACATGGGAGTTTAAAAGATACTGAGCTCACTCTTTAAACTACAGAGTTGTGTTTACATCTTGCATTTTGTCTTTTCAACAGTTTTTGGAGGCATGAAGACGTAAAGTTCTCCGGTCTAAGTCTTGAGAACGTTCTGAAAAACTTCACAGAATTTTGTGTTGCAGAAAAGTTTGTTTTTTTATCTTTAGTGTCATGTTGTGACTCTGACCTCCAGGTTGGGAAGTTATAATATTCTGGTATATTTTGGTGCACAAATAATATAATAATAATTAAAACTCCCAGCTGGGTTCCTCCGTCATATTCTGCCCATTCTGCTCCACTGAATCCCAAAGCAGGCTCTAAGAGAAGCTGCGACACATAAAGACGACATGCAGAGCTGGTGTTGAGGTGGCGGTGAAGCTGCCTCGCTCTGACCTCAGACTGATGTCCGTCGCTCCTCGCCTCCTCGCCATCTGATGCCGGGTGTTCGTCCTGAACTGGCGTGCCGCCTCCATCATCTGCAGGACACAACAACAGGTCAGTGACACACTTCAGCATCTCAGTGTTATCACACAGGATATGTTGATGTCAAACATCTGCAGAGTTTTCTAATAGAAAGATGTGTAGATGAGACAGGAAACCCAGTTCTACTGGACCATGACACCCCTTGTTATTGTCATGTTTTTATTTTCTGTATCTCTAATTAGCTTGTGAACACCAGCAGAGACAAGGCATCCCGTGGGAGAGAAGGAAGGAGAGTCTGGGGCTTGGAGACACTAGGAGGACCTGCAGTAACCTGATTCTGGTTGAATCTACAGCAGCCAATTGGATTGAATTTACCCTCAGAGGGATTAATAAAGTATATAAAATAAAATAAACTGAGATGTGGGTATCAAGGTGGTTTCCTGCACGGGTCAGCAACAGGTTTGCATTTACTGTGGTGCTTTCAGAGGGAAAATCTTCTTAAGAAACAAACAGATACCAGGATCTTTTAATCTGTGAACCAAACCTCATTCAAAAGTCATGCATTTTAAGGTTGACGGGTTAAAAACAGGCAGCAGAAGACAGTTTAAGGAGCTAACTGACTCACCGGCAGTTTCAAATCAGACCCATGTTTATTACTATCATCATTAACACTGTTGAAGCTCATCATGTCACAGACACAGATTTTAAACCTGCCTTAAGTTAAAGAGAAACAATATTATGGTTGTCATTCGCCAGCAGTGCTGCTACAGTAGCTCCCCACATCACACTTGTGTTGTAAATATCCTGTAGATGATCTCGGACCTGGTCCACAGGAGGCTGACTTTATCTCAATCTACGGCAGCCGTACTGGGTCTAATGTGTGGGTAAACTCAATTTAAAAACAGACAGACTCCAGGCAGCTTCACAGCCTGCACACCAAACTCCATGCAAATATCAAGCATTTAAAGGTTGACGGGTAAATACCACATAGTATTAAGATATAATATAACAAGACAACATTGGTAGATATAATATTTAGGTCTGTTTTTCAATTCGGCATGCAGCCAACACCTTTATATCCAAAGGTCCGTGATTTTTATTCTATTTTAACCCAACGCTGCTTATCCAGAGCGGCTCTGTCCGCATGGTGCTAACCGACAGGAGGCGGCTTACAGACGGATTCAAGTCGGACTGGAGCCCCCGCTTTACCCAACGCTGTATGAACATTATCCATCAAACACTTGGCTTTCATTTTGTATTTTGTTTTAAACTTTAAAGGCTAAATGCTACCGATGAGCAGGGCTGTACATCCGCCTGCGCACCGCTCCCGAGGCTAAAATTAGACCCATTTCCTGGTTGTTTCTCAGCAGCACTAATGCTAACACCACAATAACACTTCTTCACACGCATCGTGCTGATAAGATGGTGACTAACAGTGTGTCCGACATGTTCATCACCTGAAACTTCACCTGACACCCACTTATAACCAACACATGTAGCCGTTAGCTTGTTAGCTTGTTAGGAAACAAAGCAGAGCAGTGTGTTACCGGAGTGGCTCGCGGACATGAAGTCGTCCTCCTCTCCGTCCATTTCTCAGACGAAGAAAGACTCAGGTTCAGATCCGAACACCGGAAAGCTCTCCGGTAACGTCAACGTCTGATATCAGAGCGGGAAAAATAAACCCGATCAAAGTAACGATGCGTTGTCGAAAGCTAACAACTAGTTAGCGAGCTACTGTAGCCCGGAGATCCAAAATGGTGTCACTTCCGTAATATACGCATGCGCAGATGTGCTGTCGACACGCAGGGACGAGATAGCAAGTTGTTTTTTTAATCCAAAAAACTTTATTATTAATACGAACAATTACAATTCACAATAATAATAGAATTTATTTATTTATATATTTATTTATTTATTTTTATTGAATAAATTACAAATGTCTCTCATTTTGACAGTAACAATAACCATAGTGCAAAAAACAAGCCAGGCGGTTTAGGTTAAATAAAATAAAATAAAATAAAATAAATACAAAGAGGAAAAATAAACTAAAGTTAAGAATTTAAGAATCACGGCCCATATTTAACTCATAGATGTAACATAAGCGTCTTGTTTTTTATCCAGTCCAAACATTGATCCAAGAGAACAGTTCCTTCACAACAGCTTAGATCACATTTTAATTACATATCTTACAGTTAAACATACTGGGACAGTTTTTATGGCCTTTTTTTATTGGTACATGATTTAATAGTATTTATGTCATTTTTAAAAATCTCTGTAAACCACAGTAAAAAGGAAGCAGCAGAGGTGTCGGTGAGTTGCCTTCTTCGTCCAGTTAAACATAAAACTGTTAATTGTCATTAGAGTATTTAGAATCATGTCTCTCTACCTCACATTGCGTCATTACACAGAACCACGATATTTAAAAGTGTAAATTCAGACACAACAACATACTAGCAGTTCCTGTGAACACTTTCAAAATAGAAAAAAAAAAAAGTTTCAGGGTGTAGTTACGGACTGTGCCCACAGCAGGGCGGTGTAGACACACTGCTGTAAACACTCGAACAGCATTTAAGTGACCAAACTTTTTATTTATTTTTATAAACATTGTTTCAGTGTTAGTACATTATAATTACAGTTTT